AATACCAGGAGACACCCGTTTCAATAAAGGAAAATCGATCACGTTCTCAGTCGTTTTCATATGACACACGACCTCACATACTGCCTCAAGATAATCAGGAAAGGAGTGCCAATATACAACGATCGCAATTTCCTGGTCAAGATATTCGACATCAGACGCAGCATCCACAAAATCGTTCTTTGCAAGAATTCCAAGAGAACATCCAGATTTCGGAGCGTACAAAGTGGGAACAAAACTTGGATTTTGAGGCGTTCGATGCGACCAACAACAATGTTTCGTCATCTTCATTTCGACCTAGTAGAAGACATACTGTCTCCAGCACAAACTCCACGTACAAACAAAACTCTAACACAGCTACGAATAATGCGCACCGACAAATGCCGATGAATTTGATATTTACGCCCTATCAACCACGGCCTCCAATACAACCGCAGTCATTGCCGATCGATACGAATCAATCTGTTGCTCCACCTGGTCAACTAATGCTTTCTCCGGTCTCAAATATTCCATCAGGGATGGCAAACCTATTAACGCAAATACCCGAGGAATCCACGGCGAATTTAAATGATTCACTTCAATTTATAAATTTCACTCATACACCTTCATTTCAATCCGGACAAACACAATCTAAACAACCTTCCATTACAAGAGTAAGACCGTCGCCTCACAAACGCAAATCCAAAGGGGCACTGGATTTCATTCTAAATACATCAGGTGAATCAAATCAAAAACGATCAAAATTCGATGATGAGAACAATGGCGAGCAATATTGATAAGTAAAAAGTGTGATTTTTGCAACAAACATTGTATCATTCGCAAACGTTATGTAAAGCTAAGGATTTTATTTCATGTATTAAAATTATTATTATTTCTCACTATAACTAAATTTTGAATAAAGAAATTCGTCTAAGTACCCCTTTCTTTTTTGTTTGTACATAAATTTTAGTGCGTATATTTATTTTCTATTACTGTAACGTTTTTATGATTCACTATGTAGTTAGTAGCAAG